GGCAACCTTTGCTATTTCACATTATACATACTTTCATTTTGATCAGTGGACCCCATTGAAAGGCATTTTCGCAAAAAAGAGAGAGACCATCGTCTTTATGCTTTCCAGACTTTATTAGACTGCAATCAGCACATGTAAAAAGCACTGTCCATGGGTCATCGGCCGTCTGGCAGGATGCACACTGTTGTGGTATAAGTTCCCAACGCCTCAACTCCCATAAAGTAAAAGAATCCCCCTCTCGTCAGATTGCCTCACGACCGTTCCGTAACGGTATACTCCCCAGCAACCCTCGCCCTCTCCATCTTGGCAACAGTAGCAGGCATCGTCTTCTTCAACCTCCCCAACCCGCCCACCGCGCCCCCAAACGCGTCCTTCACCTCGCCCCTCCTATCCATCGCCTCGAGCGGGAGCACCTCGGCCTCCATCTCCCTCGCCTCGTCCTCTTTCGCCTTCTTCGCAGCCTCGAAAGCGGCCTCGTCTGCGGCCGCGGCGGCTCTGAACTCGTTTGTCGTCGCGGTAGCGATGGCGCCGGGGACGGATTTTTTGAGGGCGGCGATTTCGTTGAGGAGGTCTTCTTCTTCGCGCGCGAGGTCTTCGACGCGCTGGCGGAGGCGGGCGTCCCAGGGTTCGTAGGCTTCTTCTGGTTCGTCTGAGGGCGTGTTGTTGGAGAGGAAGGTTGACGGGTCGGTGTCCATGCCGTTTATGGAGAGGTTTGGGGCTGCGTAGGTGAATGTTTTGTTGATGTACTGTGTTTCGAGGGGGGGTTTTGTGTTAGCGAGATTCTTGGGGATTGGTGTGGCTCGCTTTCTTCTGCCTTTGCTTTCTCGTGCCTTGGAGGGGCAATCTCGAAGCAAGAACATGAGGGTCGTGCAAGATTTCGCCGAGACAAAACAAGAGAAAGGGGAGAGTTTGGAGTACTAGCCTTACCTCGTTGACCAGACGCTCAATAGGCGCCCGCAGCTCGTCCTCTTGCGCGTTGCTGCCCTCGATGTGCGGAAACGCATTGTCGAGCTGTTCCTGCGCGGCGCGCCGGACGTTGGTGAGCAGGTACGCGAGGTCGTCGCGGGATTGCAGTTCGATTTTCCTATGTGCGTCCTCCATAGTTGTCTCCTCGTTTCCGTTTCCTATCCCCTTCTTCCTTTTTGGGCCTTAGATTTCTTTCACTCTTTTTCTTCCTTCTTCACTAACACATTCGAGTGGGATCCTGGTGGGTTTGAGAAGGGCGGTCTGTATTGAGAGTCCTTGATTGCTCCTTTTGGAGGGTGAGATTCCTCGAGTTCGATTGGTCTCGCGACGTTTGTTGGCGCGTCGTGGGTGGTGGGGTGTTTGAGTCGTGGTGGGATGTGTTTGTCCTCGGTGTGGATGTTTACTTGCGCCTGGTTTGCTTGACGACGGGACGGTCCAGTTCCATTCGACACCACCTCACCCCGGTCAGCGGTCGCCCCATCGGTGCGCGTCGAGCCCGTCGTCCGATGTGACCTGTGCTCCTCCCACCATCCAGCTGGGCTTATCAGGCGCTAGTGCGTCTACCTTATCTTATCTACTTATCAGCATGTGACGCTGCCCAGACTACCTTAGGTACCGACCTTGAATGACCGAATCGATCCCAATGCAACGCCAGCGACCCAACCCCGAGAACTGCCGAGATCGGACAGTCGCTCCGAAGAGGTTCAGCGAATGGTTCGGTGTGGAACACAGACCAGTAAGGTAGACCTGTTCCGTTCACCTCTGAGAGGGAATGATGGGCGGTGGCACTGTGCGGGACAAGCATCACCAGAACAGAAACCCTCCCCAATTTTAGTTTTACCTACGTACAGCTTTACCCTCATGCATTGCATGAATGCTGCAAGGGGAGAAAAGAGAGTATGGGATCATCCGCCAAGGTCACGAGGTGCAGCAGTCCCACGGTTCGGATCTTGTTCAGAGGGATGGGCGAGAAGGGATCGACGTCGATAGTCAATATATGAGAGACATGAAGAATGACGACCGGTTCGGTGTCGGGACGGTGTGTGTGTTTACAGCATCAGCCAAGCTACCATCTTCAAAATAGCATCACAAACTTTCTCTGCCCATACACATTCATCCAACAACTTATGCTTCCCGGCCGAACCGGATATGCTATGTCGTACAGACTAAGGAACGCCTGTCTATATAGGTGGCACAACGCAGGCAAAATGGCCCAAACTCTTTTTCCGACTTTGAACGGCGGTAGGTACTCTCAAAACTTGGCATTCTTGCTGGACGTCCGTCCCCTTGTCCGTCTGTCTGGGTTGATGCATCTCGACGCTATGACTGCGAAACTGGGACGGACCTGCATGGGGGGGAGGAGCACAGAGGATAGACAATTTTACCGCACCACCGAAATCAAAACCAAAGGGGTAGTTTCGAGGACGTTCAAGACTGCGTTTCTTATCCGTACATATGGAGGTACGCCAGACACTCACAATGAGAAAATTGCGGGGCGATGGTTTACGGGATGGTTCAGCTGGTTGATGCAGCTGGGGTAAACGCTGTTTTGCGTCACCTATCAAGGTGAGAAATAAATAACCGGCACGGTGCGGCACACCTTGGTGCTGAGCAAGGGAAAGAACCGGGACATCTGTCCCAGACCTTACCTTACCTTGCTGTTCTTCTTTCGCAGAGTGTACATCATGTCTCACTTATCTCCTCATCGTTCTGAGTGTTACCGACAAGCAACGGGGAAAAGCCAAAGGACCAAAGACCATCATCGCACTTACACCATCCATACTCCCATGTCATAAACGTGGGGTCCCCCCCTTCCCAAGACGGGCAAAGCCCACGGCGAAAGCGGAGCTTGCTTTGCTTGGAAGGGGTTTAGGTGCCATGGCGTTGTCGGTCCTCGGGTGCGCGCGGTGAAGGTACAGTACAGTAGCGCCGGGCCTGCGGTACTGGCGGTCTTCCGCTGGTCTGGAGCCAACCCAAGGTAACTGGACCCTCTTTCTCAGAACGCCATCTGGGACGGAATGGCGTCCAAACAGGCCACACCGACGACAGTGCGCCGGGAGAAGAGGGGCTAACGGTGACCAGAGACCTGAGGTTTCGAGTCAGAAGTTGAAGGGGGGCCGTTTCAGCGATTTTCGAAGATCAACATGATACTATTTGCACTTATTCAATGATTGTGACTATTGGGCTCTCAGTAAGGCGTGCACTCATGGAGTGGCTGCAAGACAGGTGGTTGGTTATCGGCTGGTCTGCCCAACTACTCCGACGGTACCCGTGGACCCTGACGTGGTACCTGGCCGGCTTGCGCTACCCTACTGCCCAAACTCTCGTAGAAAGAGAGACAGGAACATGCTTGGTAGGCTCAAATGTACGCCATAAATCAGGACATTGTGTAGATCACGGTGGCGGACGGCTTTTGACTTGTATAGTGTCCATGTGACACTCCCTTATTGAACTATGAACTGGTGGAAAATCAATGAAAAGGGAAAACCGCGGTAGAGGCGGCATAGTACACGATCGAGGAGGGTATGTGCTTGCAATCCCATGGAACGCCCCAATCCAAAAGAAAAGCAAACGGCAACAAACAGATAAGAAATGTAACTTGAGACAATGAAACCCGTCTCGCCAAAACGATCCCAACTCCCCCGATAATTCCCAAAGGCCGGTGTCACTAATAGCTCCTCGATGTCGAGAAGGAAATGCGACTTGTACTGTGTTTCCACTTGGTGTACTCCCATGCACGTTCGTATCCGGATCGAACATGGGCCCATTTGCCTTGGTGGTTCGTTCGTAAAGCAGTCTGATAAAATGATAAAAAAGAGTCCGAGGGGGTACAGGTCGTGGCCGGACGCCGTGATGTGGAAAGAAAATGTATCTCGTGAGAATCGTCGGTCTAAGCGCTCAGGACGTAGTTGTTCATGTGTAGCGTCATGGCCGTCTCTGAGGGACGCCGTTATTGGGGAAACATGTTGTTGATCTCCTCGTCGCTAAGGACAATCTCGTGTACGGGCTCCCGTCGATTCTCGAGCGGGGTGTAGTCACAATCGACATACGACGGCAGGAAGATCTCTGAACAAAGTGGTCAGCAAGCAATGGGAGGAGAGACCGGGACAACCTTTACTCACCTGGGTTCCACGCAAAGCCCTGGCTCGAGGAGAGGTAGGTGATCTGGATGGCCTGTTAGCATTCGTTCCCTGAGGAGGACTATAGTGGTCTTACAAGGCGGGGAGTTCCGTTTGGTTCGCCGATGTTGATAACGGTGCTTTCCTGCTTCGACAAGGCGGAGCCTGCCCGTGACGTGAGCAAAGGTCCCAAGTTGACATGTACAGAGTCCGAGACAGGCATGTCGGGCAAGGCTGCAGGCCCGGGCTGTGTAGCTTCAGAGTAAAGTGGGATGACTTACTGAGAAGGCTAGGACGACGTTCATGGACCATCTTTCGCTTCTGAACGGAAGTCGGGGAAGATGTTTGAGGTGAACTGGAGTATGTCGACGAGGAAGAGCTAGCAGCACCCCGGACCTGGGGTGACTGGTGGTGGTGATATGTGTTGGCCGACGACGGGGTCATCGGGATTGCAATTGACGACGACATGATGTATGTAGTTTCGGAGGGGAACAGAGGGAAGACCCCAAGCAAGATGAGACGATAAAGTTCAAGAGTGATTGAAAGCAGTCAGAGAGATCGAGGAGAAGCACGAGAGAACGCACACCGGAAGGCAGGTCATGTATGGTAGAGAAGCAGTGCAGCGTCAAAGTGAAGCAGATGTTGAAGGAGTCAGAAGTGGGATTAAAGGTACGAGAATGGAGAGAAGGAGTGCCTGTGACTGTACAGTGCTAGGTCGGCTTGCTGGACGAAGGCCCAACGAGGCACCCGGCCGGTGAACACATCATCCCATGGGGGGGTTGATAAGAGATAGGTGCCGGAGTAGCAGGCCGTGCTAAGGACCGACGGTGACACTCACCGACGACTCTAACAGTGGAATTGCGGGAGAGACCCTCACATCATCATGGCAGGGATCTTGTGCCGTCTCCACAGTACATGGGGGCAGGCGTCCCCACTCGAGGCCAATCGGAGGTCGTCGCTGCCTCCAGTCTGGGCAGCGTGATGCAGGCACTTCGCCTTGCTCCAAGTCATCTGCTGAGCCAATCAATCAACCAGAGAGTGTCCAGTGGGGGCCTGCCTAGTATCCCACCAGCACGTGACCTTGGAGCTTCGACCAGGTTCCTGACTAAGCTGGGCTGGGCTGAGAGGCTGCGCTGCATGCGTATCCGATTGACGCCTACAGCCAAGCTCGAGCAAGCAAGCACCACCACCACCCAGCTTGAAATCAACAACCTTGCCATCATCAACGACACCGCCTAGTTTCCGCGAACTCACATCCTCTACGAACTTCGAGGCATCTCGAGTAACGAAACCCCTTACTCCACGCCTTTAATACCCATCAAATATCCGACACAATGGGTGACGTCTTGGTGGAAAACCCGGCCAACCAAGTCGCCCCTCACAAGAAGACAGCTCCCTCAACAATCCCTAGTATTGAGAACTTTGAGGGCATCGCGACGGAGGGAGGTGACGACTATGCCACATTGAAGAAGCTGCAAAGACAACTGGAGTATATCCAGTTGCAGGAGGAGTATATCAAGGATGAGCAGAGGTTCGATACTCGCACGATCACTGCGTGTCATCTGGTTTGCTGACCCGCTGGCGTAGGAGTCTGAAGCGCGAGCTTGTCCGGGCTCAAGAGGAGATCAAGCGAATCCAGAGTGTTCCTTTGGTGATTGGGCAGTTTATGGAGGCCATCGACCAGAAGTATGCAGACCCCCGCAGACAGCTCCCGCTTCGAGCTCAACAATGCTAACTCATCATAGCACCGGAATCGTACAGTCATCCACGGGTTCGAATTATGTCGTGCGCATCCTTTCCACCCTCGACCGCGAGAAGCTCAAGCCCTCTTCCTCCGTCGCCCTCCACCGCCACTCCAACGCCCTCGTCGACATCCTCCCCCCCGAAGCCGACTCGTCCATTGCCATGCTTGGCGCCGACGAGAAGCCCGATGTGACGTACGCCGATGTTGGTGGTCTGGACATGCAGAAGCAGGAGATCCGCGAGGCTGTCGAGCTGCCATTGACGCACTTCGACCTCTACAAGCAGATTGGTATCGATCCCCCTCGCGGTGTCTTGCTCTACGGTCCTCCGGGAACAGGAAAGACGATGCTGGTAAAGGCTGTGGCGAACTCCACGACGGCGAACTTCATTCGTGTTGTTGGCTCCGAGTTTGTTCAGAAGTACCTCGGTGAGGGTCCTCGTATGGTTCGCGATGTCTTCCGCATGGCCCGCGAGAACGCCCCCGCCATCATCTTCATTGACGAGATTGACGCCATTGCGACGAAACGTTTCGATGCGCAGACTGGTGCCGATCGTGAAGTTCAGCGTATTTTGCTCGAGCTTCTGAACCAGATGGACGGTTTCGACCAGACCGCCAACGTCAAGGTCATCATGGCCACGAACAGAGCCGACACCCTCGACCCCGCCCTTCTCCGTCCCGGTCGTCTGGACCGAAAGATCGAGTTCCCTAGCTTGAGAGACAGACGCGAGCGTCGTCTCATTTTTTCCACCATTGCCAGCAAGATGAGCTTGGCCCCCGAGGTCGACATGGACTCCCTGATTGTTCGCAACGATCCTCTCAGTGGTGCCGTCATCGCTGCCATCATGCAGGAGGCCGGTCTTCGTGCCGTGCGGAAGAACCGCTACAACATCATCCAGAGCGATTTGGAGGATGCCTACTCAAGCCAGGTCAAGGGCACGAGCGACGAGAACAAGTTTGATTTCTACAAATAAGCGACTGCTCTCTCCGAGGGAGAAGGCGCAGGCGGAAACGGCGCATCGTGGGGGGAACGAACAGAGCTCGCTGCCAGGCTGGCAATGTAATGTCATGAAGGGCACGGCTGGGAAGGCAAGGGATAGACTTTACAAGGCTTCGGGGAGCGAGACTTGGCGTCGCGTTGTACAATACAATACACTCGATAAAGAAGTTGCGTTGCCGCCACTATGTTTCAACCTGGTTTTCAAACCCATTTCACTCGTGTGCTGGGAAATGCGTGCTCGTGACCGTGACCTAAAGGAGTGCTTCCCTTTGTCTATAAATTTCCGCCAGTATCACCAGAGGCCCCTGAGTATGCGATGCAGCTCTATGGATCTCATAAATCAGGGTTTGTAAGACATGAATCTCAACTACATGTGCCTCTTCTAACACCGACATTCAGCTGCCTCCGACCCCTTACGACGATTGTTGGAAGCAGAAGAGCGGAAGTTCAGATGGCACCTAGACGTTTCATTAAACAGAAGCTGGAGTGAGATTAAACAGACCCTATCCAAGACGTAACCCAGAGCGTGAGCCGCTTGGCATAGTATACAAAGGGGAATATATAAAAAAGCGCCATACTACCAGTTTGGTGCCGATGACTTGATTACCTAGCTCATATTGTTTTCAAAAGCAGAAATAGGTGTGTGTCTACGTCTATGTGAGAGGTACGAAAACGCGCAAAAGAGAAAAAAAGGAGAGAAATTCATAAAACCGACACATTGAACAAGGGAAAAAAGTGTTCAAAACTGAACTTGCCCATGTGAACTGTCCCCAGACGAAGAAATCAGAGGGCCGGTCGTTGGTTATTAGTCGGCGGGCGAGCGGTGGGAAACGTCACACACACACACACCCACACCGGGACTCCACTCGGTATCAGCCGAGAACGTCAGGTTTCCTTCAAATCGGATGGCTGGCCGGAACAGAACCTGCCTTATCGAAAGGAGGGAGGGGAGGGAGAGGAGGTTCCACTCGATAAAAGTAACTTGATAGGAACAAAGCATTACATCACATATCACCTTTCCTTCTCGATCTTATTACCGTATCCGTCGTCCTACATGTAGTTTTTTTGCCTCCCATTATGAATTGTGTATAAAGTATACTGCAACTACTTACCTTACTCTGATTGCCGTTATATATTGAAGTCCTCTCTAGAGTTACTGTTCTCATGAAACAGGTCGCAAACCAAGTATGAACAAGGTCAGAATGGATTACGATATCGTCAATAGAGTATGGTAAATTCATCAGGGTGATAGTTCTGAATTTTGCTAAACCCCTTTTCCCAAGTACTTTTCCGGATCCGATAATCCCCATCTATTGATTGGAAATCTTTTCCCTTCTTCCCCTTGTTTGCCGTTTGTCCTTTTCCCATTATCCTTTTTCTTTTCCTTCCCTCTGTTGTCTGTTTTTACCACAGACGTGAGCCTGGAAGCTTCCGTTGTGAAGTCTAATGTCGCTACTCTCGAGGGGAATCTGGGGAAAGGAAGAACATGAAGAAAAACCCGTGAATCATGAAGCCATGGCTAGAAAGTGAAAAAAAAAGTAGGGATCCCAAAGTCTATGAAAATCATGCCCAGCCTGCCTGCTTAGTCGTGAAAACCGCTTAAAAAAGGATAAGGAAGCGATGCTGCCGTTCGCTAATGCAAAAAGTCCTAATGCAAATGAGATGCCAACCATCTCATTTGTGGGGTATATCCGTCGTCCCGCTGCAATCACTCTCCTCCCCTCCCCTCCTCTCTCTTCGAGTAGTGGGCAAGGTGATTAGAATTATCATTACCCATTACTGCTTTGGTTCTGGCTACCGTGTCTGAGGTCCGGCCTAAGCCCGCCGCATCATAGTTGTATGTGATTTGTATGTTGGTATGTTTCATACGAATCGCGTCTTCTACTGCCCAAGTCAATAACAAAGGCAGCGATTCTGTGTTGTGAACGTATATGTGCTGCAACTGTTACAGCTCCTAAGAGCTCAGCGCAACGCCAAGTTCGAGCATAAGCTTCACAAACTTGGCATGCAGCTCAATAAAGAAGTCGGGCATGCCGACAAGTTCAGCAAGGCCTCGAGCTTTGAGTGAGACACCGCCGGGACCACCGCCCATTCTCCTTGAGAAGCCGCCACCTCCCGTGAGGAAGCTGCTGCCACCACGGTCTTGTCCTTCGCGTTCAGGCTTGATCATCGTCGGATACGAGCTGTGGTGTTGCGGGCCTCCAAGGGGGCTGGCTTCGGCAGCTTTCTCTGCCTCAGCTTCCGCCAACTGCTGAATCCATGAAGCAAGATCACGGAAAGCGGCAGCCATGAAACCAAATGTTTTCATCGCCAGTCTCTCCTTGTGTGTGCTAAGAGCCAGAAATGCATACACACGCTTGTGGCCGCGAGCATGCATATCTGGAATGCGAAAGATGTAGGCTGTTGTGTAGCCGTTGACTGGATCGCCGAAGAATATGGGACCACCAGAAGCTGCTGCCCCAGCGCTGTGTGTCGTGACAAAGGCTGGCATGTTGCTTGACTGCGGCGATGCACTAGGTGTTGGGTTTGCCGGGGCGCGGGGTAGTGTCTCCAGTGAAAGGGTTCGCAGACACGAGGATCGCACTATCGAGAAGGAAGCTGGGATGAGAGGTTCGTGGGTCGAGGTGTAGTCGAGGTAATGTGTGTGGCCGACATGCCTGCCCGATGACATGCTCGATCGCGTTGTTGTAGAGCCCGTTGCCCTTCGGTGCATTCGTTCGGGTTGGCTTTCTCCATCTGTGTCACTAGCAGAAGATGCTTGAGAGGTAGGCGGCGATGCCTGCCCGTATACCCTGGCGTAAGGAGCGCGAGTGCGCAATGTGGGACCACGCTCAGCCTTCAAGTCGTTCTTATCCTTGCCGCCCTGTCGTTGCGGTAGCGTCAGCGCGCAATTCTCGCAAGGGCCGGCGCGCTTCGTAACGTAGTCGTCGTAGGTTCGGCGAAAACTCGAATCGCGTCGTGGCTGCTGCTGCTCCGATATCCGGCGGGGGCTTTCAGGTGGGGTCTCGATTGCGGAGGGCGACAGAGGGGAAGCTGGCGAGTTCGTGGTAGAGTTTGCTGAAGAGGCGCGAAGCATGGCGGCGCGCTGGATCTGGTTTTCGGCTTCGGAAGCAGGTAGAGACGAACTGCGGTGCGAGTTAAGGTGCATCTTGCGCAGCGCATCCGACATGGCCACGGTCTGGTTGAGAGAGCCAGCCGGTGCTGGGGCGCTGGTCCGGGCTCGGAGCTGATCTTGATCGGCGTAACCAGCGGCGCCATCATCGAAGCATGTTGTGCATGGGACTGGCAGGCCCTCGGTGACCATAAGCGGGGTCGGACCATGTTGGTCACAGTAGTGAGCGAGACATAGCTGGAGGCCGGTCATTAGCGACAGCGAATCTGGTGATTGTTGGTTCATGGTTGCAGGGTGTTCGCAAGGAGTGGCGAAGGTGTGCTCAAACGACGGGACACGCATCGTGAGAGTACAGCAGCCTGGGGAGTTGGGTGTGTTTGGCAACAGAGAGATACTCTGCCAAAGGTGGAGGGGGAAGGAGTATTAAGCAAGAAGTGTAGCCATGACAATGCCAGGAAAGGCGCGAGGAGGTATAGGAACAGCTTATATCAGCCGCAGAGGTGAGAGAAGACGAGAGAATATGGGAGCGAGTCGTGTCATGCGCCCGAGGGTAGAATTATACGTGTGAGAGGCAAAGTAGGGCGAGGGTGCATGGGAGAGGCCATGGCGGCGCAGTCTCCCTTTCTTATGGGAAGTTCAAAGGGGGTCTGGGTGGTGGTGAATAAGAATTGGGCATTGGAAATGATGGGGGAGGACAAGATGGAGGGGTGGCTAATTAGGGGACGAGTATCCGTACTCCGTAGAGGCGTATGGAGACATGGGAGTAGATAGGATGGGATGAGATGAGTAGAGAAGTTGGGCAAGGTGAGGCCGGTTGCAACAGGCAGGGCCCCGGTCGTGGGGGATGTTATCCTGATTGCCGGTGTCTCGTGTCGGGCTTGTCTGAGTGTCTGGGAGCGACGGGGAAGACGAGGAGGATGGGGATGTGCACTGATATGCGGGAAGCGGTGAGGCGGTGAACGAGCGGCTCTCTCCAATAACATGACGACGGTCGGTCAGGTTTGACGGCCAGGGACAGCAGGAAATGCTGCAATCCAGATTGGCCGGGGTGTGTGGTCATGGTCCATGGGAAATGGGTAGGCAGGCCCTTTTTTCCCGGTGGTGGGAAAAGATAAAGAGGCAGTGTAACGCAGCAATAAGGAGAGACTCTGAGAGAGAAGACAGACTTACTATGGATGTCATGACGTACTCCCTCTCCCCAGGCCGAATCCGGGTCGTGATTGTGTTTCGCCAATGAAGAGATGAGCGCAATCAACGCCCAGGCCCAGAAGGGGGGGAAGAGAAAAGAAAGGCTGTGTCGTCTGTAAGAAGTCGTAAGGAACCCCAGCAAGGGTCGGTTGTTGCACTTTGATCTTCGTTTGGGGGCGATTTTTTTTGGTGCCACGCGGGATGGCGGGATCGCAGGCTGAGAGAATGAGAAGTGATTAGAAAGAGGAAGCCTTGAAGACGGCGAGTCGGAGCAGGAAAATGAAAATCAAAGTGGTGGTTCTCGAAAAAAAGGTGTATGGATGAGACGGCAATAATAAGTTGCGTGTGTGTGCGCGCACACCTTGTGCCTCCTCTGTATGTGTGTGTGTGTGTGTGTGTGTGTGTGTGAATGCGTGTGAGGAAAAAGAATAGCAAGTGAGGAGTGAGGAGTGAGTTGAAAGAGTAAACGAGAATGAGTGTGTAAGAGAGACAGAGGCGAGTCCAAAGTGGGTGTGTGAATAAGTGGGTGTGAGAGAGGTGTGTGGTGCGGATGCAGTAGCCACGATCCCCAAGGTAAAGGCAAGTAAGTGCAAGTGCGACTGCGATGAGGTGCCGAGATGAAAAGAGCGAGCGACCACCGGAGGGTAAGGTACTTACTGCGCTGGCTACACACAGTGGTGGTAAGGTACCTTATTCACTGGTGAGGATGAGGACGAAGACAATAAGTGATCTGCTTTCTCTCCTCTCAAAGAGCTGTTGCCGTGAACGCTAAGAAGACGCAGACCCAGACTAAGCAGCAACGATGGGCGGGGTTCCCGGAAAGCGCAGGTTCGTTGTCGTATGAGAAGGGTGGGAAGTCCCGGCGGGACACGATGCAGGGCGATTTCGATGCTGTTGGACGTGTCAGCGACTTTTGCAGTCTTGCCCACTGGGCTAGAATGATGGGACGGCTCACAGTTGGTGTGGTTGGTCGTTGATGATGCTAGCCAGTAAAGCAACCCAGTCTGAGTCTGAAGTTGGTGGCCAGACTCGATGGGAACCAACGGCGGGACTGACGGGAGATGGTGAACGATGTCTTGAGCTACTGCGTAGTCCCATATGCTAGCAGTGTTGACCCGATATTCCTGACAGAGGCGATGGACTTTCGATACGTCTAATCAACGATGGGGGGGTTGTGAATGGTGGTTGACAATGACACGCGCACTAGTAATGACTCAATGCTGAGTGGCTGAAGATGGTTTTTGGACACCAGAAAAAGACGAGGACGAGAACCTCAACGGGTCGGCGGCCACGGCAAGCTCAGTCTAGTTATTACCACATCACATACTTCTTCATTCATCGAGTGGGATGAATGTGGCCCTGTGGAGGGGGGAGGGGGAGAAAAAAGTCAAGGCGATTCTTCATGTGCGGGGCACATCAGGGAAAATAAACAACCCCCGTGACATACACCGTACATACACAATAAGGTAGATGATGGATATTTTCCTACGATTATCGTGGGCTTCATCCACTCAGATGATCTTCCGTAGTTGATCGGTACCTGGCCTTGGGTCGCTGCCGACAGCTCGGGACTGGGACCTCGGACACAACTGCGATTGGGTACTGGCGATGACCAGGGACTCGAAGACATGGCAACGAGGAAACACCACCATACCATGGACGAGAGACCCGGGCCCAGAAGACCAAGACGTGGGACGACCTGGACAATGGGGCCGGGCTGTTGACTCGCTCTAGAACTCGGAAGACCCACCGTGGCTAACGGAATCTCGGCCTATCTAAGCTATTCTTGAGTCTTTTTTGAGTCTTTGACGAATTCCTATGGTTTGCTGTTCATTGTTTCTCACTTTACTTTGTGTGTAATAAGTCTGAGCCGTCTTATCGTCGCGTGCCAGTGGGGACGGACTCTGAAGCCTTGCTGGGAAATGGGCACGTTTCAATGGAGACAATGAATTCTTCGTATGTAAAGCGTTGCTCTATAGCCGTGCGCTAACATCCAAAAGAGATTCGCGGCGGAGTAGGGGTCGCAGAGGCCAAGGCATGCCGGGAATTGCGAGTGGTTGATTCGTTTCTAGGCATGTCCAGCATGGTTTGACCGCACGTTAGCTGCTGCGGACGCTCATGTAGGTAGATGCGCCGTTGTGGTGCAACTGCTCCGTCAAACGTCTCTGATCCAAAAATGAGAGGGGAGGGGACAAAACTGACTGAGGCATTATACGGGCCGCAAGGTAATGGGGTTGCAGGCGCTAGGGTAGGGTCAAGTTCCGAAAATCGCGATTATGAATCGCAAGGCGGTTTGAGACAGATTACCCGGCCGGTCGTCATGAAAGAAATTCAACAATAACCCCGTCCCCAGTGTACGGATCCCGAGTACCGTACCGGAGTAATTCACGGCGTAGCTATTCGCGAATAAGTCGGGCAAACCTCCCCACGAGCGGCGAGCAATAGTAGGGCAGAGCATACATACATAACAGAGCCAAATAAACTCCGCACGTTCTCCGTTGCGGTCATGGGTGGTTGTAGCCTCGTAGGGAACAGTGCTTTCTCTGCGTCCCGGGTTCCTGAGCAGGTATTCGGGATTCTCGACGTTCCAAGAAATCCCGAGCCCAATATCCCTGACCTGGTTCAGCTTTCTTTTTCCTCTTGTCTCTTGTTGCCCGACCCGACGGTGGGAAACCGGGGTTGTCTTGTTGTTCTCCTCTTCCTTTCTCGACAAAATCGGGGGGGGGGGGGGCCAAAACCCGACGCAACCGCAAGCAGCTGACTGGACTGAGAAGCACCGTAGCAGTCCAGTCTCTCAGTGTCCCCCCTGATCGGAAAGAAGCAGTATCCCTGTCGGCCGGATGTGAATAGCGGACAGGAGGGCTGCAAGCAAAGACCCAGTTGGACCGCGAATGGCAGGCTTGCTAGGATGTGACTTGGCGCAGTGGAAGGAATTCAAACGAGGGGTAGAATTGTCCACATCTTCCAGAAGCATTCCAGCGGGTGGGCTGGAACTTTCGACTGGGGGCCCAGGGACGGTGCACGGCCGCGAGTGAGGTGCAAAGCAGTGGTGCAGGACGATGGCACGGGCAACGAAAAAAGGCGGGTTTTCTGGTGACGTTGTCAATTGCGTCCCCATGTAGGCAGGCAGTTGAAAGTTCTCAAGCTTCGGGCAAGGTCCTGGTCTGCTCCACTACAGGGTCGGAATGGCTCGCAGAGTTGTTTTCAAGATGGAGATGGAGGTGAAGACAAAGTCGATTTGGCTTGGGGTTTGCGGGCGAGGATACCCCGTGGATACTTGGTGATGACGGGACCGAGGACGGCAGTGAGTGAAGTGGATGAAAATAGCTGCTTGGCAAAACGAACGTGAGCTGTATCCGTACACGAGTTGAGGTACGGAGTACGGAGTACCTCGAATAACTTTGGTGTCCTGCCACGGGCATCGGCCGAGTAGTGTACTTCGTAGGCACAGAAAAGGGGGATCGAGGCTTGTGGTGCTTGTTCCGTTTGGGCTCTCGGTGTTTCTGTCGTTTCCTGGTGGACTTTTTCTTTTTCTTCCTTCTTTTTCCCTTTCTGGGTGTTCAGATGCAGGGTACTTGGGCGTCGACCGAGGCAGGCGGCAGGCGTAGGCGCACGCTGAGTTGCTGACCGCCCCCAGACAACAAAAGTCACAAAAGTTGCTTCCGGCATATCGTAGGGGTCTTGATAGATGAACGGGGCAAGTGAGGAGAAGAGAATGGGAGACCTTGTCAATTTTGTCTTGTCGTCGCGATGGAAAATTAGGATCCCATCTCACCCAAAAGGGCTCCTTCCCTCTCGAGTGTCGAGTTTGCGCATCAGTCTGGGGTTTGGTTTCGCACGAGTGAGAGTCGGGAAGGAGGGGATGAGGTAATGCGGGGCTCTTTCTCGTACAGACTTAAGGTACCTTGGGTAAGGTACGGGGTGGAGGGAGTTGCGGACTGCGGTCCAGGACCTCGTCACTCGCCCCTTCCGTTCAGCCAGACCTGACAGGTTCAGAGCTCACGTGGAAGGTACAGCTTTGCATCTGCGCATTCCTAAATTCTCAATCTTAACCTGATGGACCCAACTGGGGCCTGCCATTGGACGCCACCGGATCGCCAGCACCGCTTCATCGGTGCAAAGTGCAAGAGCGGTGCCGCGGTGCGAATGCAAACGAGCAGGTGCAGCGAAGTTCGGCAGGCGCAGGCGTAATGTAAGGTAGGCAGGCAGGGTCCCAGATGTCCGGCTACCTTCCATACCTTCCTTACCTAACCTTACTAGGTACTGTACAGGACTTCACCTTGCAGCTCCATTCCATTACACGCTGCACATCTCAGTTATCCAAACTCAAGTGTTTCGGTCACAACTCGCCTCGGGACCGGGAACCGGCCAAGCTTGTCTTGGCCTCTCTGTCTCTCGGTCCATACCTCATCCTGATCCTTGATACATCCACCTTACCCAATGCCAGAGAATGACAGCCAGACTACCTACCTTAGCTACATGTGCCCAAGGTGGTCTAGCACTCGGGTTAGCACTTCCTGATTCCCTTCGACCTACCTTAGCCCTGCTTAGCCCCAAGCTGTCAGTTGTCACTGCTGCCTCTCGACTTGCACGACTGACCGCATCGCCTTGTCATCGTGATCTTAGCTAGCTACCCGTATTTTGGATAAGGGAGGAAACGCAAAGCTGGTCTGCGGCCTGCCATGCAAGTCTTCCTTTCACTCTTCACTTACAAACTTGCAACGCGGCTAGCGCTAACCCTTACCAGCAAAGACCCAACGGGCGGCGTTTGTCTCTCCTGAGTCTCTTCCTGGCTCAATTACGCAGCTCCGGAAACATTACCGGCGGCATTATGTACTAGCGCCCTCTTCCTTGACTCGTTCGACCGCAAAAGGACATTGAGATTTCACGTATCAAAAACACCAGACGAAAACATGTCCGACACACTCATAGTCTACGTACACACTGCGGAAACTCGACAAGATTCCGCCGGGGCCTGCAAACTCAATCCAGCCATCCCAAGTCTTTTCGCCAGCACGGCGGCATAGCGATCCTTTGTGTTTCCACTCATCACGCTCAGATCCGGACCTGTCATTTGATCCCAGTATCAACCCCTGTTTGGCAAATATCCTCTATCATCTTTGGGGTATGAATATAATACCCACGCCAAGCATGTGATTGTTGAACCGGTATCCTGGTCCTTGGTCCCGACTGACTCTGTCTCTCACCGTGCCAAACATGGACCAAGACTTGGGCCACCCATGGGAACAGAAGAAAACTTGTGGTGTCGTTGAGCTTAGGAGAGTAAACGACACATTTTCTACGTATATTGGCAGTCTCCGTCATACTGCATACTGCTACGGCGGTGTAGACGTGCATTGGAGCCTCATACCCCTCGTCACCGCTTACTTTGGGGCGGGCTTACATGGCAGACAATCCATCAGCTCAGCTGAGCTGCGCCGTCGCTTCGGGCCGGACTCTCTCTAGTCTTTCCAACATCACCACTTCCCGGTTCTTCACAAATCACTCTACTACTCCAAATCTTATCCACACGCGACTGCTGGCTATTACAATAGAGACCGCTGCGAAAGCTTAGTAGATTCAGCAACACTCGAGAGATGTACCGTAGGAAGTCTTACGCTTGGTCGGAAAGCAACGCTCAGACTCGACACATGCCTTTCGCAGCTGTCAGTCCACTGCAATTACCTTTCCCCGGATCCCCTTACCTGCGCTGCCGGACAAGTCACAGTTGGACTGCTTATCTCGACTTCATGCTTTCTCTTATCCACAAATCAGAACATCAGACAATTGACAGGAATTGTCCCGACTCGATCTCACCCCAATGTCTCTCTGACATGCTTCTACGCTCCCTCATTACACGTCGTCTCACCGCTCAACTTGACCTCACCTCAACACCACTCATCCAAGACACCTCGCAACCTGCATCACAGATCGTGGCCTCTCTCCTGACGACCGAACACCCCTGCCATATGGAGCCTTGCCCTCCTCTTGTCCCAATACAGCCTCGCTGCTGGTCCCAACTGCCGCCCGTTGGGCCAACTCATCTCACCCACACCATCCTCAGCCTGCATCCACACACACACATTCACTCACACACCTCTGCTGTCATGTCCACCGCTCCAATCTTCCGCCGACCTTGATTTTCGTCCTTACAGTTGTCTGGGGAAAGCTTCCGTGGCCCCGCCGCGGCGAGGGCTAAGTTACAAAACCTGCGCGACGCTTAAGCGCTTAGCCTGACTGAGCTCAAGCTGTATGATCCGGCCCTCGCGGAAAGCGTCGTCCGTGATCCGGAATTAAGGATCCAGAAAGACTTGTGGTAGGCATCGAAAGACTGCCATTGTCTACACTACCAGGACACTTCAAGCAGGTACAAAATTTGGATACACACGCAAACACTGCTTCAATCGGAATCCGCTCTACTCTCATCTCTCGCTTTGGCCTTTTTTGCGCTCGCCCATCTTCTAGCAGGCCCCAGTCCCTCACGATGATGATTGACTTGGAAAAGACTCGCTTTTCAGAGCAGCAGCCGGTAGCGGGATGTAGCATAAGCCACCACGCGTGGCAGCATTTGGGCAGCCCGGGGTCTACTACGTAGGAGATCGACTCGCTCTCGGTCCTCAACGGGAAAAATGCTCGTTTTGGCCGGTATGGCCGTCCAACCTTGCAGCTCTCAATGCGCCGCTACCATGTGTCAGGCCCACGCTTCGGTGAGCGTACCGGCGCCGTTCTATGCCAGTCATGAGGGAAGGAAAACGCACAGACATCTCTGGATGGCCCATACCACGCTGGAATTGACGGCGCATGCGACTGGACGTCAACCTACACATGACGGTAGCATTCTCTACATCATCATTCCCAGAACTGGACCTCCAAGGCGTTGCACGCAAGCTGAAGGAAGCTGGCCGACTGTCTTACACATGCGCTGGCTGAACCGCAGCGAGCAAAAGGAAACAGCCGGCTGCCCCCTCCAACTCGTGCTTCCGTGCGCCAGCTGCACATTATTATCTGGGGTTTTCCAAAGGACCACTCATTTGCTGGTTCGTCTCTTCTGCCCACCCCCCTACCGCTGTAACTTGTAACTTGTGATGAGTTGCGCTGCACCTCGCATCAAGTAGCCCGACATGCTCCGTGCTTTCTGCCGTGTAACAACGGCACAGGATGTCACTACAGTATAGCTCATCTTCTTCGAGCCTTTCTCAATATTGGTGACTTCCGAAGGCTGAAGGAATGCGCTAACTTTCACCACCTTTTCGAGAAGAAGCGAGGGTTCCAACGACGGTCACACAACTACCGGGCCAGAGCAGCATGCGCATTTTCTGAAAGTCGCAGTCTTACGCTTCGAGAAACAAGTGGTTTTCTATTCTTTAGTGCCAATAATTGACAGCGGAAAGTCTTAGAGTAATCGATGTTTTCGCAGCCTCCAACAAGCACGGCGGCACGGTCACAACGACACCCTGGAAATACCAAGACAAACCGGCCCTCAATTAGCCGCGCCGGTCCGAAATGCCTCCATCGTCCGCACTCCCGAGGTCCACATCGGACCATCAAGGCATCTTTCATCTCATCTTTTCCACTTGTGTCCATTGAAACCGGCCAAGAGACACCTACAATTGACCACTAGCCGGGCGCTAGAAATGGTCTCCACCAAAGCCAACACACGATGGGGAGGATGATACCCAACGCTCAGTAGAAAGTCTTCGGCGTATGTTCACCGAGCATGTTCACACCAGAGTTTGTTTTCTGCTTCATTTCCGGTGACCGGAACGTTGGGTGAAATAAGTCTAGCAAGGGTCTCATCATCCGCCGTTGCAAAAGACAAGGATTCACAATCCCAGCGAGCTGGCTGGGTTCATGGGCCTCGATTTACCCGGCCACTCTTTTCTCTTGGGATTGATCACAAGGAGAAAGTTCGGACCATTGATCATGCTCACTGAAGTTCCCAGACGGCCGAGCATTCGTGTTCTGCCAGCATCGAAACATCAACCGTGGATACTGATTTTTGGCTGATGTTGTTGGCTAGGTACTTTAGTATGCTGTCATGGCGATGCCATGGGCCATTACACTCTGACTGCCTGGCATAGTCTTAATTTCTCCCGTCACCATCACATGGTAGCATGGGGTAAAGATACTGCGCGGCCTCACCCGCCCGCTGAGCGCGCTGTCATCTTTAATGCCTGTACTCTGTACTCCGTATCACACAATACGACGGCAACTTTCGCAGGAGAATGCTGTGGGTTGGGCCACGCTCATCCTTTTTCTTCGCGAAAAACTCCATACAGATACCCCAGAGACGCAGAGACGGCCGCCGCCCCCTCCACCCTCCCTTACCGCTGTGCCGTCCCACGACCCCCGACCCCGGACGCAGGAAAGAGGAGGGCTGCTGACCAACAACCCCGGTTCGAAATCTCACACCGAGACGGGAGTCCCCGGAACCGGTCAGCGCTATGGAGGAAGGATGTCATTCCCGCCCGCTCTCCCTTCTTCCCCATGTGACGGTGACATGCCATGTCGAGTTGTCGATGAAGGCGTGAAACGGGCGCAAAGCGCCTCGCTATCGACGCCGGGGACAAGGGGAAACACGATTTTGGGTTTTGACCGTTCGCAATAGTCGCTTCTTCACTGCCCTTCAGAGGCACAGAGGCGCAGACTTGGGGGGGGGGGCAGGATTTCCATCGCATCCCGAGGTCTCTTGCCGGCCGAGGGTTGGTATGTCTGAAGTCGGTCCGACATCATCATGTTGGCTTCCCCTTCCCTCTCGCCTTTGAGATGTAGCAGCCATGCTAGATGATGTCTTCTTCCATGCCTCGGATTCGGCGACATGGCGACAACCCGCCAACCCGGGGACAAGTTATGTGAACCCGTCGTTGTCGTTACTACTAATCACTCCACCCCCCCAAGCCTGGCCCATCCCATCACATCACATCCGTCCATCGCCTCTCTCTTGCGAGAGAAAATGGCCGATTCCGTGGAAATACGAGCTATCATAAATCAGGGAACACCAGAAGCGCCAGGAATCGAAGGCGATAGCGGTCGATCGCCCGCTTTTTTTCGCTGAAGAATTCAATGTTTTCCCCTCCCCCTTTCCCCCTTGCCTCTTTTCTTTGACCCTGTCCCTTCTATCCGGATCCTACCGGCTAGTGAGAGTTGCCTTTTCGTGGTTGGTCCATGGGTTTAGGTGAGGTGAGGTAAGGAACGTAAGGATCGTAAGGAATAATTGGAATGAATGGAACGAAGCGTGGCCCAGTTTACTAGATTCCAGCTGTAAGCCGGGTAGCATGAGAGGGAAGCCGCTCGAGCTGAATAAACTTGATCCTTTCTCTACTCTAGCTATTGGGGGAAGATGGGCCAAGTTATGTGAGATGACTTCCGGTCGGTTCAAACTATATACAGTACCTTGGGAAGTCAGAATATCAAGGCGCTGACTTAGGTTGAGTGTGGTTTTTTTTTTTTTTGGGACCGCATTGGGGCCATGGCGTTTCGTCCGTCCCATTGTTTGCCTCTACGCATTTGCAGATTATGCTGAGCTTCATTGGAACAAACGCGCGATAATAGTAAAAGCAGTCCAGTTGAAAAAGGGAGAAAAGCTAACCTAACTTTGTTGGGAACATTATCAGCGCAACCTCTGCACACACTTTCGCAACAGACTGCGTTCTCATGGTGATGCTCCTTTTTCTTGCTCTTATAGAGGAAGGGTATATATGTACTTCATAGGTAGCCATCTGGTCCGCTCTAGGCGGACGGGGGGCTCACGTAAACCGCAACTACTCCTATGATATCTCTTTCCTTCTCGTCACGAAAATACCATCATAACTCAAAGTCCTTCTTGGACTCTCTTCTGCCCTCGAGGCTTCGTCGACCTGGAGCCGTTGGTTATGACCCGGAATCATTGAACCTCCCTCATCGCCTCAGAATACTCCTACAATTTCCATCACCGGGCCATATACGCTTGCTTCCTCCTGCTCAGTCAATGCTGGTCCCCCCTTTCCCCCTTTCTCCCAAATCATAACGCCTGGTAATGCTGTTGCTTGCTTTGATATACAAGTTATCGAAATTACACATGCTATGCCGCCACAGTCTGCCGATTAAATCATAATTGTTTATGTCCTTTCAACTTTTCCATAAGAAGAAAAAAAAGGGGTATCTCCGTGCTTCATCCCCGGCCGTTAATCCAGTCGTCTTACTCTTCCGTCAAGTGAAGTAAACCCGGCATGCGTCACTCAATCGGTCGACGAGTCCTCAACCTCCAGCCTCTTAGCTGCGGGTTCGCTGTCCCCGTCACTGTCCTCGACGTCGTACTTTTCCTGCCACAGCTTGCGCAGCACCTGGTACAGGAACAAGTACTGCGACTCAGCCTGGACCATGCTGCGGCGCTGCTCGCGGAGGGCATCGACGGTCGCAAAAATAAGGTCGTCGCCCTCGCCGGCACCATCGTAGTCGTCAAGCGCTCCCTCGTCGAGCTCGCGCATCAAGTGCTCCAGAGTGATGAAAGTGCCTGTTCGTCCTACTCCCGCGCTGCAGTGGATGATGCGCGGGTTCTCCGAGGTCGTGTTGTACTCGCGCGACAGACGCATGAGCGTGAAGAAACTGGACAAGTCGTCGACGGCGGGGACGCCAAAGTCGGGCCATTTGGTGTAGAGTAGGTGCCTGACTATGCGGTCCTCTTCCTCGTCGCCTACGCGCAGCAGGAGCTTGCGCACCTCAATGGCGCCGTTCTCGAGGGACAGGAGAGAGTCAAAGGTCAGCGTAGCGCTCCAGCCATCGCTCCAGCCGTCCATCTCGTTGATGACCCAGGGTTCGTGCTCTTCGTCCATTGGCAGGTAAGGGTAGCATTTCACCTGGTTGTTCTCGTAGAAGCTGGTAAGCTGTACGATGACGACGGGATCTGTGAGTTGCTCCGCAATCATGCGCCAGACAAAGTCTAGGGAGTTCTCTGTCGGACCCTGCATCGCAATGTAGCGCAAGGGAGGGAGCTCCTTATTCGAGGGAGAAGAGAGGGATATCGTCGAGGCGTTGACGTAGTCGAGCTCTTCCGCAGGCACGCGCAGTTTTATGCGGTTGTGGTTCCAGGGCTTGATGTTGAAGTAACGATCTTGCGGGCCTCTGCGCATGTCAACCTGCTTGTAAGAGCCCCATTTCGTGG